ATCCAAACGCCGCTCAGCAGCTTCAGGTTCGGCTGCGTTTAATCTGATCTGAAGCGCTGTGTCTTCTTCTCTTGAATTGCATCAGGAGGGCTGAATTACAGTCTTGCGCTACAGCGACACACTGGTCAAACCGTGTTATTCCAGGGTCTTACATTAGGTCATATGAGATCAAACGACTACTCAACAACAAAAATATTTGTCGACAATTTTTTTTATTGTCGACGTTGTCGATAATGTCGACTAATCGTTTCAGCCCTACATGAAATACATATATACTGTATGGTATAATGCAATAGGGCTGCACGGTTAATCGTATTTTATTGGTGATCACGATTTTGGTTTCTTGAGTAATAAAGCATAATCGTCTCTAATATTGTCTGTTAAACACTTTTGTCTTTTTCATTTGACATTTTTATTATTTTGCATTGACTACAAGCCTCCACAAGCTTTTATGTTTGGGGTGTCTACATGTCAAGAGTTTAAATTCCCCAATCGGAGAGGAAAAAAAAAGGGGGGACAGATTATCTGCTCCGTTTGCTCAGAAGCGCTGTGTCTTCATCTCTTGAATTGCATCAGGAGAGCTGAATTACAGTCTTGCACTACTGACATTTTTATTATTTTGCATTGACTACAAGCCTCCACAAGCTTTTATGTTTGGGGTGTCTACATGTCAAGAGTTTAAATTCCCCAATCGGAGAGGGAAAAAAAAGGGGGGACAGATTATCTTATCTAGCAGTCTCTTTTGTGATATTCTGCTCAAATAAAATGTAATACAGCCCAGGAGAGTTCGTTTATGAGGCCACTTGCGCTATTTGCTGTGACTAAATCAGTGAAAAAACCTCAGTAACAAACTGTAAGCCAAACATGAATCTTGACTATATAGTTTGCAGTTTTCACATGCCTGTAAGGTTAGGTTTAAGGCTTGGGGCTTTAACTTAAAATGTGACTGTTTGAACTGCTGGTAGCACATCCTGAGGCAGCACACGTTTTCAGAACACCGTTTCCCAACTCATGACCCAAAACTAGGCCTGTCACGATAACAACTTTTTGTTGTGCGATATATTGCCCCAGAAATAATTGCGATAAGCAATATTATTGTCATTTTAAAGACCATTTTATGCCACTGAATATATAATCTGTAACAGCATAATAATGCAAGAAGGCCTACACACTTCCAAATGACAACAAACTTTTAATTTTTAAGAATATTTAGATCATGGAAATTAAACCTGAATAAATAGTAAATAAACATTTTCTAACAAAAAGTGCAAAGTAACAAGTAGAAATAAAGATAAATGCACAAAGAACTTGTATGGAGATTTGTCCATCTACAGATTTTTCCTTCTTTTCTCTGTAAATTAAGGGTGCACACTATTGCTGAAAAACACAATCACTACTTAGAAGTCCGTATGCACAAAGGCACAGATCCCTAAACAAGACCATATCTGCAGATGAAACTTTGTTTGTAGAAGCATTTTTAAAATTTGAACTAGCACCTCATGACTACACCACGTTATGTACGAGAAGCTGCAAAAGACACAGGCGCAAGTGGAATGTAAAAAACACAGTGACATCCATTTTTATTATATAATGGCCGATATACTGCGTCACCAAAACTTATTGAGGTCATGTACATATATTGTGCGATAAGTCGATATTATTGATTATTGCGACAGGCCTAGCCAAAACCTTGTCTTATTGGTCCAAACATCTTTAAAGCTGAACTGAACAGATCCTATCCTTGCTGATGTTCAGATAGATGTACAAATGGAGTGATGCATTGAGTAAGTTCACAGTAAGGTCAACAGTAGATTTCCAGTAAGTGCTCCTACTCTTCATGTGTATCCAAGTCAATTTTAGTCAAACTGCACTGGGCTACATGCGCTCATCTAAAAATTTAAATTGTCACCAATTAGTCACTCTTATGTCATTTAAATTGATAGATTTATTATACATAAAATGACATTTTTAACCCCCAGTATTGTACAGAAACTAAAAATTTGGTTTCAGAGCAACCCTAAGGTTGGCAGAGACTAATGTTCACATCTCACCTCCTCTTTCCTAAAGAAAGCGATCAAAGCAGCCCAACGCCCTTAGGCTGATGAAACACAGGGCACCTTTTTGAGCAATGTTACCGGGCAACTTTGGCTAATGTTGCCGTCAATGGGCAACCAGGTGAGACACAGGGCCCACGACCGATCTAAAGTATCCATATAGATATGTGTTACCCGTTCTCAATGGGAAAGTGTCCAAGCAATATTGCTCAAAAAAAGTTGCCCGGCTATGACGACCTCTGTCGTTACTTTGTGGAATGGCTGTAGGAGTCCATGGACTACCTTGATTGGCCGTCGTTTGAGACACCTGCTCTCTATCAGACGCTCCTTTTAAAAGAGGCCTCCGCTTGATCTAGAGGAGGGCTCCGGTTTTGGATATTTGGTTTTGTGACTTGTTTGGCTTGTGTTTGCTTTTGCACTCCAACACCCCAGTACACTACATCCCACCACATCCATACATTTCGCATTACACATTGGCATTACTGATGTTTCCAATACATAGTTGTTTTCTTTACGGTGTTCTTTACTTTTCCATTGTGATTGTAGCTTTTGAATAAATTATATTCGAAGCTAACCGTTTGGTTCGCGTGTGTCCTCTGTTTGTTGCTTCCCTTGAGCCATGGGTCGTAACAAATTGGGGGCTCGTCCTTGTTTAATTCCTTTTGTTAATTGTATTTAATTTTGAATAGGGTTTGATAATTGAGACACACGTGAGTTAGTTTGTGCCGGAGTAAATTAGTCGCCGTGTGAAGTCGCCAGGTGGTGAGTAATTATGATGTTTGAACGTGATTTTCCCTGTTAGGCATAGCGGCATGTTTCTTTTGAAACATGTCGAGTTTGTTGTTTTTTTGTAGTGTTGCGGTGAACGTGGGTAGTAGTATTTATCTCGGGAGCACATCCGTGGTGTGTAAGGCGTCGCTGGTTTTACCAGTTGCGTTTTTTCACCCAGCGGGTGTGTGTGTGCGTGCGAGTGTGTGTGTGTGTGTGTGAGTGTGAGTGTGAGTGTGTGTGTGTGTGTGTGTCAAACTGCTCCAGTTGGATGAATGTCAAAAACCCATCGGAGCTTGACATGTCCCTCTCATACCCATTTACATCATCCTGACCTGTCAAGCCCAGCCACACAGAATCACAGATGAAGGAAGAGCGAGAAGGAAGATCCTGTCCACATGGCATGAATAATCCAAGATTGGAATACAAAACATTTCAGTGTTTTCATACACAGAGTACAGTGAGCTCACAGTATTCCTTCCTTTACCTTCCTTCTTCACATTTTGTTATGTTGCAGCCCTGTACTAAAATGTTTTTAAATTAGTATTTTTTTTTTCTGTTTGTGGTAACTTTGCAGATTAAAATGAAAAAAAAAAAATATTCAGACCTTTATCTCAGTACTTAGTTGAAGCACCTTTGGCAATGATAACAGCCTCAAGTTTTGTGGGATATGATGTGACAAGATTAATTTAAGCTTTAATTCATAGTGTTTACTTTTAA